GGGGGGGGGGGGGGGGGGGGGGGGGGGGGGGGGGGGGGGGGGGGGGGGTGTGGGTGTGGGTGTGGGTGTGGGTGTGGGTGTGGGTGTGGGTGTGGGTGTTGGTGTTGGTGTGGGTGTGAGTGTGGTTGTATAAGAGGAGGACACAAACACCCACACCCACACCCACACCCTCACACCCACACCCACAAATTTCAATTGAACTCAGGTTTCAGGTTTGACAAGACTGCTTCTCTCATAAATCATCAACAACTCGAATATACTTTCAACTAACACAGAACTGATATCTTAGACTGTACTCAAATATAGGGCTCATGTTGCAGCGCCGCACTCAATCAAACAGCTGGCTACAAAGCACAAAAACGCTCTACATATTCGGAAAGTTTGAATTTACCAAATCACAAATATTTTTATTGTCCTTCTTAATATATTATTTCACATGAGTTATGTATTTCGTCACATCAGAGACATCAATATATAACATTGCTATTTGACATTCTATGCTCATCGATAATCTCTTGCTAATGGATGTATCTATAAAGCAAAGCTATTCGTGATATAATGAATTGACAGCTAAAGAAATCACTTCCATAATCCTAGCTATTCTTATTACTATCTAATTGATCGAACTATATCATTAATTCAATACATACTACACGAACAGCTCTTATTTTTTATCGTATATGATGGTATCAATTACATAGATGCGCTTGTTACACACAACATTAGATCTTTTAGCTCTCAAATGACATATTCAACTGGTTCTTGACCAAGTTCTGTAGTTATTAGCAATTTCAATAATGACATCCCATCTGGATATCTTTGAGATTAATCCGAATGATAAAAGTTTTAAAGTATATCTTGAATGTATCAATGAAGGTTTTCTAAGCCAATTGAGGCTCATAATTCACAATGGCTTTCGCCATTGAAGATTTGAACAATGACAATCAAATAGACAGTTCAGTTACAAATTCAGACAGTAACAATGTTGATGTTGTTCTATGATATGACGTTGGTTCTTTCGAAAATCAAATGATATATCCAATGAATTCTTCTCCATGGTGTGTAGCTGTTGATGTTTTCAACAATGACACCTTACTAGACACCATTGTTACTAACTACGCCACAAATAACATAGGTGTGTTACTCAGACATCAAAATGGCTCCTTACATATTCTCGATTTCTATTGGTGATGTAGATAATGATGGCAAGTTGGATTTCGTCATCGTCCATGAAGGTGTTCACAATTTCAAAAGTTTTTTACAACCTTTTTAATATTGCTACTACTGTCTTAAATTTCTTGTTCATTGATTCATTATTTCTAACGTCTACTTAGTGCTACTAATATTTCTTCTGACTTTCTTTTGTGGCTATGTGTCAAGCACTAGAGAGATCTACAAAAAGATTAAAAAAATTATCAAGTGAAACTACCGCAATGATTTTATATTTTGACAAAGAATCTCATCAGATGTAGAATTTGGATACATCAACCACATTATAATGCCTTTTGAATCTTGTTCTACTTTTCATATTTCATAACAAAATGAATGCTTTATTGTATTACTTGATCATATGTGTGATGGCAGCTTAATGTAAACTGATCGTTTCGAAAAATTTCGATGTGACAATATGACAGACAGACTTTGGAAAATGAGTATATACACGATCGACTACATCAATATTCTATTCTGCACAGCAGATAGCTTATCTATGAATAACATGAATATATTAAAAATAAAAATTTATTTATTTTTATATCAAGAAAATTGTCATTTCAATTATTGAATCAAAACTAATTATTAACATTAGTATGTCTTTATACAATTTGTTCGAAAAAAAAAGAACATAGGGAGATTCACAATTAGAGAAATTTAGTTATTTAATTGGTTGCACCAGTTGAACGTATTTGTTGAAGACTAGAACGAGCAGCAACTGTCGATAGACTTTGTCGTCGATTATTAAGTCTATAGAAAAACGAAAAACAAAAAGATCTTATTGATGAATAAAATAGAAACAAAGAAAGAAATCTTTACTTAATACAAATTGTATTTTCAGTAAGATTTGTCCATCGCTGTCCATTATTATCTTCAAAAGATAAACCTACATGAATACTATAATGTGTAACAGTACCAAGATGTAAAATAAAACCAGCATGAAATCTATTATTTTTTAATTCTTCATTTAAAATAACATTTTCATAATGATCATTTTCAGTATCTGATATTTTTGAAAGTGATGAACTAGCTTTAAAAAAATGATGCTTTAACTTCACGATGTGAATCATCATCTGTTATCTATGGAAAACAAACAAAAACAAATCATAAATATCTAATAAATATATATTCAAATAAAATTACTTGATCAAGACTAGTAACTTTTGTTTTTGTTTTTTTATTCATTTCTTGACTTGTTAATACTTCAACAAAAACTTGTTTAACAGTACGTAATGGTAATTGATGATATGTAGTATCGATTTCACCATGAATTTGAACAAGTAATAATTCATCAGATTCGTATACAGGACGATCTTCATTTTCATTCGGAGAAACAACTAACTAAAAAAATAAAATAAAAATAAAAGGTAGTGCATTTTGTTTCGAAATTATTATTCATAAAATAATTTTGTATACTTTAACAACAGTTTGTTGTAATTTTTGAAAAAACATTCTTGAAATTGGTAGTGACACTGTAATCAATGAACTAGCTAAATATTGTAGAATAGCTAATTCCTAAAGAAAAGAAAAACTGTATAAAAAAAAGAAGTTAAACAATAACAATATACTTCATCAATATTAATATTCTTTTTTTTTTGTCTTTTTACAATGTAATCGAGTTCATACAAAATCAATAATATGCCGAAAACGTATAAACATTTGTTCAGTAAATCCATCACGCCATGACATTTCATTAAGTCGATCTTGGCATATAGTTTTAGCAAGTCTAGATAAATGATCTATAGATTTATATATATATATATATATTCTTTTTATATGAAAAATTTTTCTTACGAAAGATTTCGAACAATTCTTTTAATAACAGCCGAAATAAGATCACATAGAAAACGATTAAATGTTAAACACCATAATGTTTGTGTATCACCATCAAAACATGATTGTTGAATATAAATAATTTTTGAACTAATTGCTGAAAAACGTTTAGCCATCATAGAAAGCTAAATAAAATTTATCCATATAGTATTAATCAATGACGAAAAAATTTAATTTATAGTACATTATACATCGAACTATCCTATTAGTACATAAGTTCTGTACGTTTGGATTAGTAGAATGATATTGTCAATATAAAACTATATTTTAAGAAAATTAATGATATATACTCTGACAGCGCTCAGAATTCTCTATCATTCTGTGTATTTAGAGCTTGACTTGCATTTGTTCGCTGAATAATATTTCGAGTACAGCGAAGACCCTCTACGAACTTCATTTTTTGTTTCTTTCTCATGTGTTTTTAAAATCTTTATCTATTACAGTAATTCCATAATTATATATTTTGAGAGCTCTTAATATGCTCTATCATCCTGTATATTCAGATCTTGGCTTGAATTTATTTGCCAAGAAATATGTCGAACATTGTCAATGCAGATGATGGTGTCTTCACTGCACTCGAAATACTTTTCAGAAAACAAATGCAAGTCAAGACCTAAATACACAGGAAGAAAGAGAATTCTGAGTGCTATCAGGACAATATGATTACTTTTCTTTAAATATAGTTTTCTATTTGGCAATATAATTTTACTGATCCAAACGTGCAGAACTTATGCACCAATAATATATATATATCTAACTTGATATTCATAGAAAACAGAGATGAAAATAGGGTAGGATATGCTTTTCATTTTTATTCTATGTTCATCTCTGATAGAAAAACCAAACGTTCATTCTTAGCTTTCTTTTTCTTTTTTATCTTCGAGAGATAATTTTATAAAAATTTAAACTAACCATTCCTTTTCCAAGTAAATCAAAACTAATCATTTCTAAATCATATTGATACATGGTATGAATAGGTTCATAAAATTGATGAATTATTGATGAACGCATATCACAATGAGCATGTTCAAAATCAAATATAGCATAAGTTGAATGTTCATTATCATCAATGGATAATCTTGTCTAGAAGAAAAGAATTTATTTATTTTATTTTTTAACAATTAAATTAATTATATTATTTTTACACATATTTGTATTAAACTTGATTCATAAAATGATTCAGCTTCAGCAATACTATCACATAATAATTATAAACCATTTTCAGATAAATTCATTACTGTTTGTAATCGTTCTTCAGCATGACATATATATCAGTTAATGTATGAAGTCAAATTTCATGTATTTATATATGAACATATTGAATTAATATTTCTAATAGATCAATAGCTAATTTATATAAACAATGTCTTCTACACCAACGAGCAAGTAAAAAACATTTCTACGATGATAATTGTTTAATATGTTCATGAATTTCATTGATATCATTTGGATTTGATACAACAAATGAAGCAAGTAGATTATACTTTAGTAAAAATAAAAAAATTAAATCAGAAATAATCAATTTTTAATTTACTTCTAATAATATCTTACTCGAACATCATCATTTAATGAAGTATTTGCTAATAAATGGCGTAATTGTATTGTTTCATTAGCTATTATATCTTTATGATTTGTTGATAAACGAACAAGTGATTTCGTTAAATAGGATAATAATTATGAATCTAAGAAAAAACAAAAAAAAAACTATTAAAATTTCTTCATTTTTTCTTACCTTCAACATTAGAACATGTTGTAAAAAGTGAATGTACAAAATTTTGTGCACTATCATTATATAATCTTGATGGTTGTTCAATTAAACTTAATGTATCCTTTAAAACAAAAAACCAATTTCGAATTTTCGGTAAATAATTCGAAACAAACTTGTAATTCTTTAAGATTATTTGATTGAATGGCTTCAGTAAGAAAAACAGTTAAATCCGTATTAAGATGTTCAATTTAATCATCAAGAATAATTTGAGATGAAAAAATATTCATTATTCATTGATTCTAAAAAATATTATTAATTTTATAAAAATTTATTAATAATTATTCAATCATTTTTTGTTTGATTTATATTATTTAAATTTACAAACCAACTGAAGATAAATTTGATATATTACAATATTTAAGAATTATTCGAAGTTTTGTTGAACAACATTGATATGCAACTTGAATAGTATTATGTATAGTAAACATTTGAAGAAGTTTTTTTTAAATCTATTTCATAAAATGAATTAAAAAAAAGAACAAGTTTTCTTTCAATTTTCTACCTGACATAAATGTTGGAGAGATATAGCCACCACGATTAATAAGTGCTTCAATGATACGTAAAACGTGTAATCCTACACAATCATCATCACTATTATTTGCATATGCAATGAGATCCTATATAAAAAAAAAATTTGTATATAATAAGAAAATATTTTTTTAATATTAATACTTCTGTTGTAGAATCGAGCCAAATAATTGGAGCACGTCGAAAAATAGGAACAACATGACGAAGTATAAGTTTATGACAATTTTCCCATGGTTCAAATTTAAGAAATCCAAGAAAAAATTTTACCTATAAAATTATTAAAATGAATTAATTGTGTACACAAAAGAACAAAAAACAAAACATTGAACTAACTGTTTCACCTATTTCAAAATGGCTTCTAACAGCTAATCGAGTTAATGCTGAAACAGCTATTAGAAGAAATTCTTCTGTTGTATCATTTGTCATTAATGATATTGATAATTCACGACTCTATATAATAATTGAATTGGAAAAAATAGAAAAAGATTCTTGCTTTCTTTTTCAATATCATCATATACCTTCATAGAAACGGTTGCATCATGTATCATGTTCAAATAATGGAATAAGCCAAGATTTAATAGTTAATGGTGTTATTAAATCTTCCATTAAGGAAACAAGTTTTGTACTAATAGACATAGCAAATATTCTAGAAAAAAAAACATTGAATATATTTTGAATTATGTTATTTTTGAAATGTACTTTGAACAAGGTATAAATTTGTTTGCAACTTTTACTACTGCTAAAATTTCAATTTCATCATTAGAATCAAATGCAAGACGAATATGTGAATGTGCTTCGACATCATCAGCTAATATATGTGCCATTATAGCATCTAAAATAGAATATATAACGACCGATTGAAAAGTTTTTGGACAATATGTAGTCAAAAGTTATGAGTTAGAACCAGAATTTTATTCTCTTTTCGAATATGAGCTTAGAAATTTTGTCTGAGTTTTTGTTTGATAGCAGTGAAATAGTTGTTTTGGACGGAAAACTTTTTGCGCACACTTTTGTATATTTCCCATTACAATTCAAAACTAAAAGTTGAAGTCTTTATTTTATATATCAGCTTGTAGACTTGAAGCTACTCTATTTGACACTGTTTTTTGTCTTTCGACAAAACACCTCAATTATCGCTTTTCCTAAATATTAATTTTTGAAAAACTGACTTTTTGACCGAAATTGTTTTAAATTGAAAGGTGATGTTGAAGGTGTGGATGAAGGTAAACAAGTAATACTACTCATACCTACAGCCACACCCTTTTCTAGCAAATATGAATAATTAATTATTGGAATAGTCTTAATTCAAATCCAAGTTTCAGTCTTGAACTATACCATAGTGATAAAGTGACGCTAGTCTATCCCAGTCTCTTCGCCTTATCCTCATGGATCATTCTTTATTTCCTGATTCACCCTTCCCTCAAAATTTAACGTCGCCAATAGCATTTGTTTTTATTCTTCAAAAAGTTAGGTTAACAAAAAAATATAATGAAGCAAAAAGAAAAAGAAGCAAGAGAATAAAACCAGGAAAACGAATAAAGCTTTCATATTGCAATACCAGCACCAGCTAGTTCTTGTAATTGTCGTACATCGTTGAGTTTTCCTGCATAATATGTTTCAAAAATTCGATCTAATGCTTGAACTTCTTCTTGGGTCATAACATCTTGAATATCGTGTTTCGATAATAAATCAATTATTGTATATCGAAAAGTTGTTCGACTATCTCGAAAAAAATCTTGAACATCACAGTGATGTGTAAGATTTCTTATTTTTTTAATATATAAAAAGGATAACAAATAATGAATCGAAATGTTTAACAGTCTGGCTTTGTTGAAAATCCATTGATAAAACAATTCATATGTTTCTTCATCTATATTTTTATCAAAATGTTCTTTATATTCATTTTCAACTGTTTGATCATTTTTGAATTTTGCTTGAAATGCACGAAAAATAGACGAATCATCATAACGACGTGGTTGACCTGGTAATGAATTAATATAATCATACATCTCCTGGAAAGACATGAAAAAAAAAACATTGTACGAGGAAAAATGATCGTTACTTCAAATTCATCTCCTACTTTCACAAAAGGATCAAGTAAATCAGCAATGACTGTTTTTTTCCATCATCTTAAATTTTTTCTCAAGCTTTATCATTCGATCTTCATTTATTGTTTTTGTTTTTTCTAAAGCAGTTAGTCGATCTTCATTTATTGTTTTTGTTTCTTCTAAAGCAGCTATTCGACTTTCAAGTTCAATCATTTGTTTTGATTGTCCAAATACAAGATCCGTTAAGTTTTCAAATAATGTTTTAAGCTTAGTTTTTAATTCTCCAATATTTACTTCATTTGTATCAGTGATTTTGACAAGACTATCTTGGATGCTGTTATAAATGTTGTTGAATTTTTCAATATTATATTTTGGTACAGTATCTCCAGTTATATGACTTTTTGTTTTCCAATTATCCACAACATCTGTTACAGCACGAATTTGTTCCAAAATTATTGATGAAGCTGTGATTGGTTTCATATCCAAGGTTTTTTTGCATTCTTCTTGTAATTCTTTAGAGCAATATCCGGCAAGAGTTAAAACCAACTTAGAAAATAATAGATTTATTTCATCTAAATAAAAGAAGAAAAGAAAATTGAGTAGAAATCTTTAAATTTTCAAACCTAAACTTGCAAAAATATTCAGAGTGAAAATAATTCATTTTTCTATTTAAACCTGCCAAAAATATTTATTAATCCTCGAAAGAATAATTGAAACAACTTACTATAATCCATTTAAGTAGTAGTATACTGATAAAACACAATTGGTGTAGTGCGTTGAACGAATTAATACCAATTGTATTACATGTGGCGTCCTCTAATAAAATTCTAGTGGTAGAATACAGACGACTCCAACGATATAGAGATATCTCCTTTATCGAATAACTTCCCATATTTTTCTCGAAAACATTATATACAGAGAAATTAGTAAAAGCATTCTGATTAAATATAAAGATAGAATATTTCAATATGATATGATCACATGAAATAGAAATATTTCAATGATAAAGGTTCAAGGGGAAACAAGCGGACTTCTGTACTTCTTGGTACTTCTCTGTACTCCTTCTAACTTTTGTACTTCGGAAGTGCATAAGTCCGCTTGCTCTCCCTTGACTAATCTTCAATATTGATATACACTTTTCGGTAGAGAAGAAAAAATTTAAAACAAAATAACGAAAAAAGATAACTTGTACAATTTCATGATTTATATAAATGTGATCGATCTTTACTAAGAATATTAAAAATAGCACACCCACACTCGTCGTTAATTTTATCATCAACAAAGCCATTCATTCAATTATAAATAAATTAACGAAATTTTCTTCATTATAAGTTAATGTGCAAACAGGTAGTAATTCGTCAAGAACAATAAAGCTTGTCGCTAGACTAAAACTAAAAAAACTCAATAAAAACATGTTTTGTTATAATTTTTTTTTAGTTGTTTATTAAAGCAACGCATAGTAAATTATCCATTGTCCAATATCATCTTCCAATGAAGACAAATCATTATGTAATAAAAGTGTTTTAAAAAAACACAATTCTGTTTGAATTCGTTCAGCAAAAAGAAAAAGTTTTAATATTATTTATATTGTCACTAATAATTTTTTTAAGTCATTTGAAGATACTTTACAAAAAATATTATATAAGTATTCCAATAAGAATATCATGCTGATGAACAATTATTTCTATTTAAACAAAAGAGAAAATTTGTTACCATTTTCACCTATTTCTACCAATAAACACGTAAAGGCAGAGTTCAGATTATGGTACTGTCATTCTTTTATCTGTTGTATGAGCGATCTCGGTCAAAAAATATATTTTCTTTATTGTTATTAATTGCTCTTTCATTTATTCAAGAACCTCCAAACGTACTACTTCTATATTATATCTTCAAATACATATTGTGTACGTGTTCTCTCTCTGTCTCTTCTCCTTTTTTTTTTTCTTCTCGGTCGACATATATAATCAGTGCTTCTGTATCTTAACTCTGAGATACGACACTTTCAAAAAAAGTTTTGTTACCTTCCCACGGAAATTTTTTTTTAGAAAAACCGCTTGAAACCGCGATTGAGAGCGGTTTTTCGAAACCACGGTCCTCGAAAACCGCGTTGCGCGTATTCATAACTGCGGTTCTGAATACCGCGGTATTGACCTGTCTTAGAACCTGCGGTATCGCAATTGAAAGCCGCGGTATTTAATACCACGGTAGTCAACGGTTTTTTTAACAGCGGTTTAGTCATTCGTAATTGCGATGATAAGTACCGCGGTATTCAGCGAACTTGAAGCCTGCGATATGGTAATTGAAAACCGCGGTATTTAATACCACGGTATTGAACGATTTTTTTAACCGCGGTGAAGTCATCAGTAACCGCGGTAATCAATGGTTTAAGAAACCGCGGTATTTTCAGATCGCGGTAAACAACGGTTTTTTGAAACCGCGAAAGCCAGACCTTTTATGCGGTTTTGAATACCGGTGAAAACCGCGGTGTGAAATTACTGCGGTTTGTGGCGGTTTTGAAAAACCGCATAAAAAGTCTGACTTTCGCGGTTTCGAAAAACCGTTGTTTACCGCGGTCTGAAAATACCGCGGTTTTTTGCGGTTTTCGCTCAAAAATCTTTCTGTGGGTTGATGAAAGAATTCGGAAAAAATAAATGCTAAGGTTGACAAAATAAGAAAATGAATATAGAATGAAACAATTCAGAAAACATTGGTACATCCGTGGGATTTCTACCACATGGTGGAAGAAGAATATTCGGTTCCACTATTCTTAAAAAAAACTTTTTTTCGATTTTGATAGTCTAGTTAGACAGTTCATAGTCGAAAATGGTCAAAGATAACAATTTAAATGTTTTTGGGCATTGAAAGTCTGGAAAACCACATCATTTTTTAAGAACACTGCATATATATAAGTTATTTCATAATAACTAATGATAAATTGTTAATGATATTTTTCCTACTTTTTCTTGACATAGAGACCTAAAATTTTTATCACATATACATCTAATCAAGATCTTCTAGTTCTGAAAGTTACAGCTCTCTAGTTAAAGCTGGTGGCGAAGCAGCTCGATTTTCATTGTCGACTTTTGCAGTAATTTCACAGTGAAAATATGTACAAATTAAGTAAGAAACTTTACACATTTCAGTCTTGCCCAAGTGTTTCACCAATTGCTTTAGCTAGAGAGCTGAAACTTTCAGAAATAAAATATTCTAATCAGCTACATATGGGACAAAAATTTCAGCTCTCCATGCCAAGAAAAAATATGAAAAATATGATTGACAATTTATGATGATACCCTATGTGTGGGTATGGAGTATTCCTAATATTTGATGTGGTTCTCCACATTATATGTCCAAAAACGTTTTAATTATAATCTCAGACCATTTTTGACTATGACCCGTCTAACTAGACTATTCAAATCAAAAAACAAAATTTTTTTCACAAAAGTGGTATAAACTCCACGGATTCATCCACACATTAAATAATCAATTCTGTTTTCCTTATCGTTATCAATATTTAATTGATTAAAAGCAATACTGATTAACTCTATAAATAAATCTTGTTGTTTCAGACAGAAATAAGAGATTCGTTAAAATTCGATTTGTATTATCTCATTTAGAAAATATATTGTTCACATGAAATATTTATTTCATATTGTAATATTCAAAATATATAAATAGTTTTTGATCAAAAATTATTTATTTACATTTAAGTGATGATCATAAGTTTTGTCTAGAATTTCTTTTTTGATTGACAAATATATGCATGAGAAATCAAATATTGATAATCATTTTTGTATTAATCAATTATCTATAAATATCTAAGCAGGGGCAACAGAACGCTTTGAAATCAGGTAAGGCTCAATGTAAGGTTATTGATTATTCTAGACAACTTTTACAGGTAAACTTAACATAGATTATAATAAACTCAGGTTAAACTGTTAATTCCAAAAAAGTTTGTCTTTTGTCGTTCATATATTTCAAATTTGAAAGTTGAATTCAATTGAAATTTCAACTTTCAAGTATCAAACCGATAGCACTGCGAAGAATTCTGACTCAGACCCATTTACACATGCACACAGATATCATCGCAGCTAGGGCGAGCGAAGCGAAAGGAGCTTCATCAAGGTCGACTCACACATCTTTACAAGCACATCACAGAAGTAGTATCGGTTTCAAACTTGAAATTCCAGTTGAAATTTAAATCTCCATTGAATTCAAGTTTTAAGTTTGATACTAATGTTTAACAAAAGAACTATTAATCAATTTATTTATGTTACAAAGAAATAAAATAGTAAGCATACAGTGTAGAGAGAAACAAAACAAAAATTTAATGTTTATGCCTTATTGAGTTCGACTGAAGAACAAAAAAGCAGTATCCTTCATTATTAATGAAAGTAACCTTTGTACATATGAAGATGTCTTCTTCAGAATAAAGAAGATTCTAAAAATTTAATTCGCTTTGAAGATTAATTTTTAAAAGCTAATTATTGAAAAATAAAATTGTCTAATTTAGTTAAAAGTTGTTTTTGATTTATAGTAATAAAATTGCTGTACGAAATTACAATTATAATGTTGTTGTAATATAATTTTTCCAAATTTTTGACTGAAAATCAACTCTCTATCATTGAGTTTTGCTCTTATACTATAGACTAATGTGTCTTCAATTGAAAATTATGACTTGAAAACAAATATTCGATCGAGAATTTGCTGTTTTCAGAATAAATGATAACTAACTATTCAAAATATTCAATTGTAGAAGCTGATTCTTTTTCTTTTTTTCTCTTTCTCGAAATCATACATTTTTTGTTTACATCTTGTAGAAATATTAATTGGTAAATAAATATTTTCAAGAGCTAAAAAGATAGTTTGAGATGAATTTAAAGAGTGCTCTCGTACATCATAAATTTGTTAGATAAAAAGAGCCTTTGTTTTATATATGTACTCTCCACACTGCTCTTTCATTATTCAATGTTTCGTTGTTAAGAAATAAGTATCGACATTTTTCTAAAAACTTTTGCATTGTTGATTAGTCTATGATTAATTCTGTACTTCTAGAAATAAAAACTTATAACGATAAATGAGGCAGAGAAGTGTTTGCTTTAAGAGTTTTTATGTAGATTCCGTTTGTATTCCTTTCGAAAAGCAATAATGTATTGGCAATATTGAGAACAAACAAGTCACAATATTCCATGTATGACAAAATAAATGAATTGTACTCTTCAAATGAATCATCTTTTTATAAAAGTGAACATCACATTAAAAAAGAAAGGTATTCACACTTACTTAGAAAATCTAAACTAAATTTAAAAAGCAATAATATTTACAAGAATTTTAAGATTTTATGTTTGTTGATTATTCATATGATTTAGAGATAGAATGAAAGATCGATTCTATCTCTATTACAATGCTATCCTTAATGCTTTTACATTTGTTTTCATATTTCATTAGTTAGTCTTGTGCTTTTTTGGCGCAAGAAAACAAAAATAAAATGATTGGTATAATAATTCGTATATTATCATTGATATTTCTGCTTATATTTGCTTATCCGTTAACATTATTATTACATCCATGGTGGATATTAATGCAACCATTAGGTGCATATGATATTTTTTCAAATATGGTTAATGAATTAACAGTTATAATGCATTTACCTGAAAATCTTTCCTTATCAATACAAACTGGTCAATGGTGGTGGCGATTATAAATAAAAAATACAAAAATAAAACAAACAAAAGATTAATTTAATAACAAAAGAAAAAATGATTGTTTCCTTTTTTATTTTTTTCAAGAATCACGATGATTAGTTTTATGTTTTATTAAACTATTAACTTGATGGTCATTATTCATTCGTCTTAATGATATTGATTTTTGTTGTGTTAATGAAGTATATTTGGAAAAAGTAAATAATTGTATTAATTCATTTCGAAAAACTCGACCAGTTAATGTATAAATATAAAAATGAATTGCATGATTTAATTGTTCCATAGCAATAAATACCGCTGTCATTAATGCCATGGCACCTTTTGGTTGAGATAAATTTGGTGGATGGAAAGCACGTACTGTGTCATTGATTTCTGTTGGCAATGTAAATACTAAGAAAGCTAAAAGAATAAAAAATAAAAGAAAGAAAACGACATCAAATATTCTTTATTTTTTTTTAAATATTATTAATTAAATAATATTTAAACGCACCAGCTGCACTTCCAAGTAGCATAACAGTTAATTGTCTTTCTTTTTCATATCTTTTACGTGTTTTTTTGGATTGTACTGTCGTTGATAAAACAGTTGTTATTGAACGTCTTGATGTTATAACACGAATCAATATAATTATATTACATTAACATAACAATAAATGGAATAAGAACAGCAAATAACATATCTAATGAATCAAATATAGCATAAAAACGATCATAAGTTAATGAATTAGGTTTATTATGATAAACAATTTTTGTTTTTGATGGTAAACAATTTTTTTGAGATTGTTCATTAACTATTTCAAAACCCCAAAATATATGACTATTTATAATAATTAATGCAAATGACATAATTGTAATAATAAAAATAGCAATACGTGCTCGACAAAATTGTTTCGATTTTAATGGACATTGAATTGATACAGCTCAATCAATTGACGCAATAGCTAATAAAAAATTGGAGAGATCTGTTGTAAAATAAACCATTAATGGATTTAATTTACATATAAATAAATATTTAATTGTTAATGAAACATTATTATATGATGGAAGGACTGTATCAATAAATGAAGCAAATAATGATGCTATGTCAGTTATTGCTAATGCTAAGAAATATATTGCACATGAACGATGTCGTAATGATGCTCGACTAAATACTAATACACTAAGTAAATTTCCAACAACACCAATTACAAATATAGTTAAACATATGTATTTATAGACAATTATTTCAGTTAAATGTCGATAAAAATCATAGGATGCTGTTATTGTATCATTTTGAAATGTTATTGATGATGATGATGATGAAAAATTAAAAATTAATATATTTGAATGTGATAATTGTAAGAGATGTATATCAGATATTGTGTCATCAAATATTGAAGAATCTGAATCCATTTGAAAAACTAAATGATAGATAATTAAAATAAAAACAACAACTTTTATTTATTGATTATAACTATTCAAATATATATTTAAACAACGTTGGTATCTTAGACTTTTTTTTTCCTAAATTTGAAACATTTCCTCTATTTAAAAATATTTATACAAGATCATATTCTATTACTCATATTACATTTGTAATTAATATAAAAACAAAAAAAAGAAGAAATTACTTTTAAAAATATAATAATTATTTTAATATATAAATTGTTAATGATTGTCTAACTTGATTTGATATGTTCGAGAGAAAAAGAAAAAAAGAAAAACAAAATCTTATTGTTTCATTAAACAATTGTTATGAACGTTTATAATTATAATTATTTGTTAAGTTCATGTGAAAATAAACTTTGTTATATATATATATATATATATATACGTATTTATTCTAAAAATGAACAAAATATTCTCAAATTTTATTATAGTTCAAAAAGTTTATAGTAATAAATATAAAGAGGAATAAAACAAAAAGGAATAGTTGAAGTCTTATATGTAATTGATATAAGAAACTGCAAGATTTCTCAAAAGAATGAAAGATGATTTGATTTATCTTCAAACATTAAGATAAAATAAGTTGGATATTCTCTAATGGAATTACGAGTAACGGGTTGTTGAAAGAAACAAAACAAAAAAAGAAAATCTAAATGTGATGTCAAGACTTGACATCGTTACTTTGTTACATATGATGCTCTTCTAACTATATTAGGCCTGACAGTTTAACACATACTTATCAAGTCGTCTTTCTATCTTTCCTATATTTCGTAATTGACCATTTGAGGAAAAGAATGATGAAAAAAAATGGAATAAGTGACATAAAATGACGGATGAGATTGTTACAAGTTTATGTTAGTTTTATTTAGAATCCACGCTGAAGACATCAAAACAAAAACATACTTTTCTGTTTCCATTAAAAAAAAAAAAAAAAGAAACATAAAAACTAGTTTTTTATTCAATTATTGTAGTTTAAAATTTTATATTACAATTCAATACATTTAAATTTTTTTTAATATTTATAATCTATGTGAACACCCGCTTGTACTCTATTAATCATGTAGTCAAAAACAGTTGGGAAAAAGAAAAAAGCACGAGAACATGCTTAGATATTCATTGAGGTCAATCAATAATGATAATAGAAATCTGGATCTTAGAAAATGACGCTTCGCAGAAGATGCCATTCAGACAATAATAACTCCTTTCAAGCATATTTCTCAAGCTTTGCTTTCCTTCTCTCTCTCTCTCTCTCTCTCTCTCTCTTTTCTTCTTTGTATTATTATTCTGATATGGTATCATTTCAAACCACACTGAAAAGAACAGAATATCATAATAATAATATAAATGCCAAACAAAAAAAAACACAAATATGACACCTGCTAAAATTTTATTTTATATATCATCTTAATTATCAATTAAAATTCATTAAAGATTGAAAAACTTTAGAAATACTTACTTAAGTAGGAAAAATCATTGAAAAAGATTTTTAAATAAACATCAATTTGGTTTTTTTCACATGACTTTTTCAAAATAAAATATTGTAATTTTTTTTTCAATATATGAATGTCTTGTAATCGTAATCAATGAGAAATGACGAACAACATTCTTGTGAAGTCTCTTAGGGGAGAATAAGAGCAGAGAGAGAGAGAGAGAGAAGGTTTTTGTAGCATGATTATCATTGTGTCTATTCATCGATCTTGTCTTCTCTTCGTTCTATATAGCAGTTGTTCGGTAGACAAAAGACTAAGACGGAAGAGGAAAAGGAGGAGAAAAAAAATAAGGAAAGGCTGTCGTTGACTGTTATGTCGCCTGTTCTACACATAAAGAACCTGTATGTTTGATAGAATCAATCGTAGCTATTTGAAAGTCGGTGCCATGACATTCACTCATTCTCATGCTCAGTGAACAGCAAAGAACCAAAGAAAACAAATGAAAAAAGAAAAGGACCGAGTTAGAAGACACTTCTACCTAAATAAGTACAAACTGAACTAAATATCACCTGCTTCTACACTTGTCTATATAGACTTGGGTCTGTTAAATGTTACACACATACACAATAATAATAATAATAATAATCTGATTGTTAGAATTTTGTATCTATCGCTCTTCTAGAATTGCTTTCAAGTATTAATTACTATCGACATTCTTGAAAATCTGATGTTTCCGAGAAGAAATTCTAGAAAAATATCTATTTATCCTTATTATGGGTAACATTAACGATCAGATATACATCAATACAATTTACTACACATATCTATCATCATTAATCTAACTATGACTAAAAGAAAATGAATACTTTTTCAAATTGAATAGGTGTTATTACAATAGAAAATATTTATTCTTATTTTGTTTCCTTTTTTTCTTTATATTGTTATTATGTTAAAGACACTAATGTAATAGGGATGCAATCCTATTATATTGCATGTAATCTATAAATAAATATTTTTCTTTCTGCTTAGAATCTTTCTAACATGAATATTATATTATATTTTCTGCGTATTGCTTTACAATAGCTTCAATGTTCCATAGAATTCAAAGAGTTTCCGCTCATTTACCTATATTTTATTACAATAAAACAAGAAAACAACAATGGTTAGATCTACAAATGTGAAACTAATAGTTTACCATGCATATACTTATATATTTGTCTCGATAGTTTTTGAATTATTTATTCGAATTTTTAGATTTTTAAGGAAAATGACATGATTACAACTAAAATTTTGTTCGTATCACTCTGTATTCAATCAACTTATTTGTTATTCATATCAAATGGTTGTTTTTTATCAAGCTTTATTAGATGACATGATGTTTATAGTTCTATCATACAAAGAGAATATATTTCAAACAAGACAATCTCTGCAACATTTTATTGCTTAATCTCTAAAGATTAGACAGATATGACATAATAAAGTAAATGTCTCTCCAATCAGTACGTAGAAAAAAAAGATCTTTCTAAATATAGTTACTTTGTACTCAGTTGGTTTTACTTATAAACAATCCTTGAAATATGATAATTAAAATAGTGTCACAACAAACTTTTTCTAAAGGGACGTAGCACAGAAATAAGTGATCGATTTAACAAGGTCACGATTAGAGAATGCATATTATATAATAGAGAATCAAAGGTCATTAACCTTCTTGTTTTTTTGTGAATAACGCATTCTATATGAAAGAATGAGCTTTTCGATCGATAAAAAGAGCACTGAAAAGAAGATAATAATGTTTCTAAAGATAGTTTTTTAATTTTATTTTCTCCGGAGATAATTAGTCTTTAAAATATTTTATCTATTGAAAAAGACTATCTATTATCAAAAAAGAAAACCGAACATGAATGATGAGCATCGCTTGAAATCTTCTATTGTCAGTTTTAATATGATTGAAGTCAAAATAGAAATAGAAATTTTCTACAGTAAAAGAGAAAAAATTCTTATATATCAATGTCAATATGGAAAAAATTCTTTTTTCTTTTTTGTTAAAATAGACATGAGAACAATATATCATAGGAGAATTTCTATTAGGAATGATTGTATTTGAAAGTCATCAAGTTCACACTATGATCTGATTATGTTGGTTTTTAACTTATTATTTAATAAAATTCTTTAAAAACTAAATATAACTTCCATGGATAGTTTAACGATAATAATTTTTAGAAAAATAACTATTTCATTGTTTTAGTGAATCTATTTTATTTGTAGTGATGTTTTGTCTATTTATGAATATCAATTAGTTTAACGACTAGTCAAAAAATAACATACGTTGCTTTATTTCTCTTGAAGTTGCTGATTCGGTTTAACATAATTATATGCTTGTGAGAGTTGTTAACAAAATTACATATTTTAATAGGAAAGATAGGATAATTCATTTTTCTTTTATTTTAAAAATTAAATGAAATTTTTTGTTTTGGAATATTAATTTTTTCAAACTGTAAATCTACATTCAATGATGAATTAAATAGTTAATAAAGTTTTTCTATACGAGGATTTATACTTTCATTATATATATACATAAATATTTATTGTTATTTAAAAAAATTCTACGTCCAGAATGATTTTAAGAATAGTGTTCTGGAAAATCTCAACCGTTATTTTTTTTATTGACTGATGATAATAATATTCTTGCATATAAAGTTCAATAAATCAATATTAGGTTAGGACAAACTGAAAAATAAAATAAAATAATTTAATCTATATTTTCATGAAAATTGTGAAAAACAAAATTTTCCATCAAAGATTTATAAAAATATAGTAGCGGATTACGATTGTAAGCATGATTCCTATTAATTAAATTATTTATAGATTAAATAAAATTGTAAACATAGTGTAACAAAACTTTGTTACACTTCATTAGTAAAGAAATAAAAATTGATATGAGAAATTCAAAAAAAAAACTAGATTAAATATTTTTAATTGACGAAAAATGAATATATCTTCTTTCTATGTACTTATCTTTGCATTGATGTGTCAATTCTAGTTAGAAAAGAAAAATATTTCCAAATGATAAGATAAATTTCCAAATGTAATCAAGAATTTAGTATCATTTCACATTTGCTATACTTCCTCTGTTATTTAAGATTATTCGAGCATTCAATATTTTCTTAATGCTAAATGATAGGTAACAAATGAAACTTTTCTAAGTAACAATCTATCTTTTTATGATAGATAATTAAATGACGTAGTCAAATCTAATGACCTATCTTGAATCAGAGTACCATATATGTGGGTTTATAAAATCATTTGCGACGCATAAAATAATCTATAAGAAATAGATCTTTGTTCTCAAAATGTCGATGTGCAGAATGTTCATATACTAATTAGAATCTCTGAAAGACATGTATGTTATTTACATACATTATGATCCCTAACTAAAGATCTTCTTCAATTTTCAATAATCAATAGTTTTCTTTATAACTTTTTTTTCATACATAAAAACGTTTTCTTGTCTTTGATCTAGCTTATTTCTTAACTTATTGGTATTCTATTCGATTGAATTCTGCATCATAGAACAATTAAGTACCAATGTGATGCTTTCTTAACAATTTCACATTAGAATAGTTGTTTTTTTCGTATAAAGAGACTAGTATGTTGGAAATATTTTAACACACTCAAAGATCCATTAAAAGTTTTAATATAATAATAATCAGCATAGCATGCCTTGTAAACTCATATAAATAATTCTTTAATAAAAGAATTTCTTTTTGCTTCTGGATCGCTAGAGGGAACATGAGGATATGGAAAAGCTCATTTTTGAAATTAACAAAAAATATAGTCTTATAGAGTGTGGGTGTGGGTGTGGGTGTGGGTGTGGGTGTGGGTGTGGGTGTGGGTGTGGGTGTGGGGTGTGGGTCTGGGTCTGGGTTGATCCTATGTTTTCCAAGATCCACACCGATACTCACACACCCACACCCACACCCTCCAAATAAAACATCCAAATAATATACTCTCCAAAAAGATTCCCAAATAGAAAAAAAGCAATAAACAAAACCTCACATACAAAATCAACTCCTTACAGATCAAAACCTTCATGACAGATGATTCACAAAACTGGGAACAATACAATAACAATGCAACCCAACATACCAACCGCATAAAAAATACCTACCTATCCACTTCTCCTATACTATTCACATAACACCAACACCATATAACACGCCACTTTAACAAACAAAAGAAACCATCGGACAAAAGAGTAGAGCATCTTCGCGAAGCTGACCGATCACCTCTGTAGAAATTCAACAGCATCCACATATGAAAACCACCAACACGAACAGAAAAACAAAAACATATAAAACACTGCACAACATACACTTCAACCGGCAAAACAATTAATAACAGCATCATAACCAACGCATAAAAGGGCAGCAAGCAAAACGCCAAACCAATAACACATTAAAAATCAAACAACAGTAAAACTACAACCGCTCCCACCTCAGCAAAAGCGCCAGAGTCCAAGCCTCCATAAAAACTTTGAAAAAACACAAAAAACACCGATATCCAATATACGCGGCCTGCCGCCGGCTAAATCGATTTACAGTCGGTGAAAACGGTATCAAGGTTATCGCTTCTCGCCCTAGTGGCTAAGATCGATATTTAGTATCTGTTCTCGTCGGTTTGAAAGCCGGCGCCGATCCTACAGGATTCGGGCCATTTCAAGCGGATTTTTGGATATCGGCAGAGCTCAATCGGTTATACCATTGCCTCTGTCAGGATTGACTCGGCACTGCAATGACGTCGAGCTCGGTCCATTCTCGTTTCCTTCTGGAAACGGGAGCCAAGTATATTATAAAAACAAAGTTAAATGTAAAATTCCTTTTCCCTGTTTTTTTGAAGGGACATATGTTTTTGTGTGTTTGACTGTGAAAGATAAGATGGAAGAAGAAGAAAACATGTGGAAAGTAGACATCAAAGAGATGAACACTGAGCCACAACAGAAATAAATTGTTGGTATGAATGTTTCGAATATTTTGTTAGTTTCGTGTAGAGATGTGAAAAACATGAATTTTAATAGTAAAAAAAGAAATATCGATCGATCTATCTATCGAACTATCAACAATTCATCATCTATTCGATCATAATTCGAATGTTTAATTTTTGAAGAAAACAAAAAGAAAACGATGTTGAAGCATTTTTTTCTTGTTTGGAACGCGAGAAGAAAAATATTGATTGTAAAGGTAAGAATGATGAATAATTTCGAAATTATCATAGACAATTTTCAAGATGCATGTTATTGCGCAAGAATAAAGTCAATTGCAAATGTTATTTTCTTTTTTTTGTCATCAAAGATATAGACGAAATGTGTGAAGACAGAGTAGATTTACAGTCGGTGAAAACGGTATCAAGGTTATCGCTTCTCGCCCTAGTGGCTAAGATCGATATTTAGTATCTGTTCTCGTCGGTTTGAAAGCCGGCGCCGATCCTACGGGATTCGGGTGTGGGTGTGGGTGTGGGTGTTGATGTGGGTATGAGTGTGGGTGTGGGTGTTGATGTGGGTATGGGTGTGGGTGTGGGTGTGGGTTTGGATGGGGGTCTGAGTGTGGGTATGGGTCCGGGTGTGAGTGTGGGTGTGGGTATGGGTGTGGGTGTCGGTGTGGGTGTGGGTGTGGGTCCGGGTGTGGGTGTGGGTGTGGGCATGGGTGTGGATGTTATCATTATGAATCCAGCTACACACTCGCCCCCCACCCACACCACGCCCACACCCACGCCCACACCCACAGCACACCCACACCCACCATATCTGTTAAAGTAGAATGTTATAAAAATTCTATTGGTTACGATCTCTAATGCTTCGTTAGTCAAAACAACATCTACACGATTAAGAATCTTTCTCTTTAAAGAAACATATTTGAATATTTTTTTGTTCAATTAAATCTTGAAAGAAAATTTCGGTTAGAAGATTGTGTCGTCATGATTTTTAGAATTAAAAGTTAATAAGGTAATATGGTTTCCTATATAAACCGCTATAGCTGAATGGTTAAGTTGTTTGACACATATCCACAAGATACTGTGTTCGAACCTCGGCTTCATCAATCATAGAATGATCTTGGACAAGTCACTAACGGTTGTTTTGTCTCGGGTCGCCCATCCGATAACAAACTGACTACGTTGTTGACATACACTAAATGGTCCGTGTGACTAGTATGTGGTTAGTCAGTATGTATGGGGAGCTTAAGAAATTAAGCAAGAAGAGCTCTGAGTCAGGCCGGGCTTCTGCCCAGAGCTACATTTAGTAATAGATGTAGGAAAAATATCGGGCTTCTCGAAACTGTCCTCGAACAGCACCCTATACCGCAAGGTAGCCGAAAGGTGGGGTATTCTTCTTCTTCTTCTTCCTATATAAAAATCTTTACTCTGTCAAATATACTCATATAAAATTGCTGCACAGTGGGTAATTTCTATAGAGCACATGGACATGACTTATTTCGCGTTGAAATCGCCTTTTTTTCACAGGAATATCAGTTTCTATTTGTCAGAAACCAATTACTGAGGGAGTAGGTATTGGTGTTTGATTCGCGTTCGCAACACCCACACCCACACCCATTACTACAAATAGAAATACGTTTGATTTCAATATTGATGATCATAATTCTTTTCCGTTGCTTGAGAGAGATCACCATGCTTCGATGCCTTCGACAAAAAACTCACCAAGCCCAGCCACTGTTCGTTATTGTACTGGTTTGATGCTATCGATTATATCGTACAATTTACTCTTTCCTAGACTCTCGAACCCAGTTTCGTCTCAGTACTTCTTGTAATCTACAAGAGTATGTGACCGTTGTGACTGTATAATTTGTTTCGGCAGTTCGAACTTTTCTCCATTGTCCATACATAAAGTGGTGAGACCGTATGTGCCTGCCAACAAAAAAAGATGAATAAGAAAGAAGCATGGCGAATAAATTAGACTCTACCAGAGACAAGTGTGTTACTTTCAACAAGCCAGCTAACAAAGTGTTTGATCTTTTCTGGATCAGCACGTTATCGGATGGTCAGTTCTTGGTCCTTATTTAACAAGTACTCTTGATCGTCAGACATTTGATGAGGGTGTGGGTGTGGGTGTGGGTGTGGTGGGGTGGGGTGTAGGTGTGGTGCGGGTGTGGGGTGGGTGTGGGTGTGGATGTGGATGTGTATGTGGATGTGGATGTGGGTGTGAACGTTTGCCAAAACAATATCTGAACACACACCCACACCATACACCCGCCGCCGCAGCCGCATCCACACCGACACATCCACACCCACACCCTTAAATATACTGGACTTATTGAAAATTGAAATACAGAATCACAATTTTATTATTATAATCATAAATTTCTATAGTAAGTTGAGTAAGATATATCATTGCAATTGAACAATTAATGAATGAATACCCATGTAAAAATAAATCAAGAAAAAACGGGATTTTAATCGATTTTTTTGTGATTAAAAATCGATTAAAATGAGACGATTTTAATCAGATTTTAATCAGATTCCTTGATTTTTAATCAATTTTAATCGATTTTA